ACATTTGTTTGCATAAAACCTGCCTAAATGTTTAATTTCTTAATGAGTGAAAACAGAAAGCCATTAGCATTAGCTTGTGTGGGGAATATGGCATCTGCGAGTCCCCTGTCCCTCCCTCCTGCCATCTGCTTGCACTGCAATCGAGGCCCAGGCCTATTCCTGGCCTCCACCTTCTCGGGAACAGATAAGTCAATCCCAGCTGTGCTGTCACCGGCGGTCGATCGCAGGGCCCGTCTCCATACCTTTGTACCCATCGAGGAGTGAGTAGGCATTTCAGCTCGAGTTGAAGTGTTTGTTTAAACCTGTGTGAGCTAAATTCTAATTTCCTCTGCAGATCATGGGTCACGGCTATCGATTTGCCTCACTGTGTGTGGTTCGACAGTCTGTTCCGGTTGTCTCTCGGCTATGTGTGGGATGCACACGCATAATGCAGTCCAATTTTCGGGTGATACTTCAGGTACTTTTTGCACATTTCAGGCCCAACGCTAAAAGTTCAGACAAGCCTGGCGTGTATAGTAATACCGAATAATTAAGTTATTAATAATTCAGAAATAAATCGTGTGAGCAAAAATGCAATTATAATAATCTCCTATATCTTGTAAGAGGGCCTGGGGGTACCAGGAGAGCGGAGGGCGAAACTAGCGCATCTCTCGATTGGACATCATCCTGTGTGACAAACTTTAATTGGGACCCGTTGGGTCACCCAGTGTGAGTGCCAGAATTTTCCCAGTAGGCCCAAACCGCAGGTCTTCACCATGGCTGCAGAACTGCCCTGTTGCTAAAAGCAGAATTAATTAGCGAGCTTCTACAACCCCCCCCCCCCCCAAACCCGTTAGATTGTCGTCAGAGGCCTGTCTGCGGTCTCCGTGGAGACACGAGCCGGGTGATGCCGATAGAGAAGTCCAAGGCTAGGAGGCGCGGATCTGAATGCTAATGCTAGCTGAACAGCCCTTTCATTTCCAGCCTACAGTTTGATCCGTGTGTTTGTCTCGATCTCCAGCAGAAGGGACACACCTTAGTGAACGGAAGGGTCCGGTTAACGAGCACAATGATTTCTTTGTGAAGACTGGCTTCGGAAAGCACCACAATTATCTACAATTTACCTAAGAAAATCCTGGAGGTTCCCTTAAATCAAGTCAAGTTTCTTATTTGTCATTTCACACACACATTACATTCTAATTATTGCATGTTTGTTAAAGGCAAAGCAATCTTGGTAGCATCCTTTTCACTGTAGGGGGTTGTAAGGGTTTGAGAATTCAGCTGTGTGGCATAACGCCATTTGTAAAATCATCCTCTCAGTATAGAAACGTTGATACAGATTCCCTGGGTAGACAGCCCCTCGTGCTGACATAGATTCTACAAAGATGTGAGGCCCTCATTTAAAAGTCCCCCACACACTCGGCAACTGTCCTCTCTGTGATGGCACGCTGAAATATTGATGATCAAAAGGCTGTTGGCGATTGTAGCCTGACAGGTGGAGCATTTTAGTGGGAAGATAGAGGGGAGAATGAAAGCTGGGGTTTGCCTGTGTGGTCAGGAGAGGCATTGCTCAGGGAAGCTGGAAAGTGAGGACGATTCCAAGGGCCCCTGAGCGACAGGGAGAATTTGGAACGAAACTGGATTGGTCTTTGTCGGGGGCTCAGTATGATATGCTTTCTTGGGGCCCGAAATCTCTAGCACAGTCCCAGGAATCACCCAGGCAGCACAGTTCTGGAAGGAATTCACATGGTGATGGGCGGAGACATTCTGGTAATGGGCGGAGGCTTTCTGGTGATGGGCGGAGACATTCTGGTAATGGGCGGATACTTTCTGGTGATGGGCGGAGACATCCTGGTGATGGGCGGAGACATTCCGGTGATGGGCGGAGGCCTTCTGGTGATGGGCGGAAGCTTTCTGGTGATGGGCAGAGACATTCTGGTAATGGGCGGAGGCTTTCTGGTTATGGGCGGAGACATTCTGGTGATGGGCGGAGGCCTTCTGATGGTGGGCAGAGACTTGCCAGCTTTTCACCTGACGGAGCGTTTTCTTTTAGTGCATGGCAACCCAGTGACGTCACCATGGGCTGTCATCCTACAGTCACACTCCCAAGTCTTCTTCAGTCTCCAGGGAGACAAACATCTTAATCTAGGCTTAACGTTTCATTATATCTCTGCATATACATTTGTTTTGTTCCGGCCCTGATGGGGGGGGGGGGGGGGGGTTTGGGCATTTCTGTTACCATGGAGATGTCCCCCCCCCCCCTCATTGGCTG